CTCCGCCAAGGGGCCTGCCAGTCGGGAGGCCGACGGGGCTGGGGCAACCCCAGTGATCGGGGGATTTGCCCACTCTCATCCCAAGAGCATCCAGCCCTTGGCGAGTGGATCCAGGGGCACCTGTCCATCGGGGTCTGGGAGATGCGCATCCCAGCCGTGGGGCCTGGACCCACCGCATCTGGGGCTGCCCGTGGGCACCATCTGGACATGGCAGCTGATGTGACAGGCAGTAGGAGGACAAAGAAGCCCTTACACATCAACCTGGGACCTGCATCCGCCTCCCACTGCAAGTCTGGCCTTTGGGGAGCGGCTTCCCAGGACAGACCACAGGGCTGGCGGGTAGCTGCCCCCAGATCTGAGTGCATGGCTGCTGGGGACACCCCAGCCGTACGTGTCACATTCAGAGCTAAGGGCGAGGCTGGGCCGGGCTGCACAGGGGCTGGAATCTGGCAACACTTCCTGCTTGTGATAAACAAGGCAAAAGCAGCGTGTGTCCGGGAAACGACAGGACAAGTGTGTGTGACCCAGACAGGGACGTGGCCGGTGTGGCCCGGGGAAGGCCCGGAGGGGCTGGCCCGTGGCCGGTGAACTCACCCAGGCAGGCGGTGCCCGTGAGGTCGGCGCTGTAGCCTGGCTTGCAGTGGCAGCGGAAGGAGCCGATGCTGTTGACGCACTGTCCGTTTTGGCAGAGGCTGGGCAGCACTTTGCACTCGTCGATGTCTGGGGTGGGGGGACATGTCAACGCTACGGACGTTGGGTATTGGGTAACTGATCCAAGGGGAAAGCGCCGAAGCCCGGGGTCAGCTGGGCGCTGCACTTTGAAGTTCCCCCTCTAAGTATCCAACAGAGGCAGCAGAGCGGGGAAGCGACTAGTCGAGTATCGTCTCGACTATCTGAGAAGCATTTGCCAGTCGGCTAGTCCTTCACATCCCTAGTCAGCGCCGTGCTCCAGTGCACCTGCCTCTGCCTTCCCATGGGGGTGGGCCCTGCAGCACTCCAGGGCTAGCTCTGGGGTGCTTCTAGGGGATCAACCCTGCCCCCCAGTGCCTGACCGAGCAGCCTGAACCCACGACCTGACTCCCCCATCCCCTTCAGGGCCATTTGGGACCCTGGGGGAGCAGCTGCTGCACGGGCGTGCCCCTGCCAGGGCCTGCCCATGCCAACCTGGACACCAAGGGCTAGCGGATGCTTTGCCGGGCACAGGGCCACCTTTGCGGCCATCCCCAGCCTGTTCCCCAGAGCATGTCTCTTACACCCGCCTGGCCCCATCGGGAGGCGCCTGGTACGCACCTCGCCCGTCGGTGGTGTACCCGGTCCCGTGGGGACACATCTTTTTGTGCTGAGTGGTTCCCGGGAGCGGGCAGAGCTCACACTGCGTGCCCCAGCCGCGGGCGCCGTTGCAGCAGCACTCCGACTTGGTGACGGGGTTGCGGTTGGTGGAGGACATCTGGCACATGGTCTGCAGCACTTCAGTGAAACAGAATCCCTGGCGGGTGTCTGGGCAAGGAAAGAGAGGTGGGCAGTGAGGTGCCAGCAGCGGTGGGGGAGGACACCTGGAAGTGCTGCGGAGCAGTCGGTGTTCAGGGCCCACTGCCGTCTGCCCCGTGTTAGGTCCACGCCTGCTCTGTGGCTTGGAGGATGCAGGCCAGCCTTGCATTGTGGCACCGCCCCAGGGACAGATCCACGCAGCCCCTTCGGGAAGCTGGGCCGGGACCGTTCTCTGCAGGACGTCGCTAGCGCTTTGTCCACTCTAGCCTCCAGCCCCTCCTTGTGCGCGCTCGGCCCACCTGCCTGGAGTGCCCTCTTGGGGTGTGTCCCCTGCAGCTGGGAGGTGGCATTTCCAGTGCGGGCAGGCAGACTTGCACAGGCTCAGACCGATCTAGTGCGCTACAAATAACAGCGTGGACATTGCAGGGTGGTACGTGAGTCCAAACCCGCCTGGTCTGGCCCCCGGCTCTGACCTCAGGAGGCTAGTCCTGGTGGTAACGTCTATGCCATGGCGCGCCGAGCTGTGTGACACTATTCAGCCACTAGATGGTGCTGCCTGTGAACCGTACCAGTCAAGCTAGCTCAGCCGTCCCTGGGTATGTCTGCGCCGCGTTCCTCCTTCGAGAGGGGAATGCAATTGCAGCTGAGCGAAATGGCAAATGACGAGTGGATTTGAATTTCCCGCGCTTCATTTGCATAATTGTATCCGGGCGCTTTTTCGAAATACCGTTTTGAAAGAAAAAACGCAGTCTAGACGGGGTTATTGTGAAAAACCCTTCTTTCGCAACAACGGGAAATTCAAATCCACGCTTCATGTGCAATTTCGCTCAGCTGCATTTGCATTCCCCTCTCGAAGGAGGACTGCGGCGCAGACATACCCAGGGAGCGCATTACAGGATCTTCCAGTGAGCCACCTGCTGTGGAGATGGAAGCCCGGGAGTCGGTCTGGCTTGGATACAGAGGCCTGACTTGCTAGCCGCAGCCCTGCCACATGCCATGCAGAAGCAGCACGTGACATGGAGCCAGAAGTAAACTAGTGCCAGAGGAGAGCAATCTGCATGAACAAGCAGGTCGGAGGATCTGAGAGCTGCTCTTCAATGCGTTGGAGACCTTCAGCTTTGATCGATCTTCACAAAGGGCAGCTTGGAGACAATATGGTGGAAGATTTCAAATTGTTACAAAGCTGCATAAAGACTGGAGATATTCAGGGGTTGTCATGACCACGAGGGTTGTCCAGCAGCCTGGGGACTAAGGGGTTAACTATGTCCCTGTACCTAGCCAGGTATCTGCTCAGCCAACAGAAATGCAGATAGGGATTTCAAAGGGAGACCAAGGAATTTGGGGGCTTTCTCTCCTTTGTCTCTTGAGGCAGTTTGCTCTCTAGATACTGAGGGAGAAAGAAGACATGTTGCTCTCCAGGGAAAAGACACTTCATAATGTGCAAGTAGGGTAAAGTCTAGATAAATCCCTCAGGGTTCACTGCTTTCTGATTTGGGGATTTGGATCTGATGTCTGTGCTGTTAGAAATGGGTTTTCTTCTCTTTTGCAACGAAGTCCTGAGCCCATGGGGATCCCCCCATGAGTATATTAATTGGTGGCTCATACCATCTAGCCACTCCAACTAGGCTTGTAACTGGGGTATTGTTTTAATAATAAAAGTTTTTTCTTTTTTTAATTAACCTGGTATTGGTTCATTTCTGTGTCCTGGACAATCTGTCTGTGGGATCTGCAGGCCTCTGACGAGGCCAGGTACCACAGACTGCAGCTTGGATTTTCTCTTTCTTTTCAAGCTCTTAGGAGAAAAGAGCTTGGGGTGCCCTGAGGTTGGTTTCAAGAGTCCACTCATTTGTGGGTTCAAAAGCACTTGATGGTGGCAGCAGATTCCCCACAATCCGAGCATTAGGATTTTGGGGGGAGGTTTTGTCCCAAAGCCTGCAGAGATCAGGTTTCAGGGTGCTTTTGCGGGCCCTCCACTTCTGCATTCATCGTGCCAGAGTGGGGAACAGCCTGGACAGGTGTTTTCGTGAATGAATGGGACGGCGAAGCAGGTTACAGCGTAACTTTAAATCTCTTGACTGTATTGAAGACAGTCCCGGAGGTGACTATGGATGGTTCTGGCCGTTCGATGCAGATTTCGTGGCTGACGAAAGAGCATGTCTTCACCAGAGAATTCAAGAACCAGGAGGGATGCTGAATGTTGTACAAGAGCTCTGCATGCATTGGCTGACAACTGTGATTTGGGGAATGAAGCGCATGAAAATGTCAGAGACAGGCTGATTATTGGGTTTACAGATGAAAACCTTTCACGGAAGTGACATGTGAAGTGAGTTAGCCCTTGGCACAGCCATCCGAACAGCAACGTACTCTGAGCAGAGAAAAGGGCAGGAGCAATTTGAAAACCTGAAACTAGCTTAGAAGCTGTAAACAATTGAGTATTGGATGGTTCAAATATAACAAACCTGCATTTTTTCAGGGGGTTAGACTAGATGAGCCACATGGTCTCTTCTCTCCCTATGGGTCTATGAGAGAAGAGAATCCCAGGCTAAGGGGACGAATTCCAGCCTACACCTGTGACATTACTGGACTCTAATGTGACCATATAAAACACTGTTGCAACCATTGTTCTATGTTTTCAACAAATCTTGTGCAAAGCAGGCCAAGTGGGAGGTCTCTAGGAAGCCGATGAGTCACCAATTCTGGTTATGCCGTTCATATGCAGGTATCAGTTTTGTATCTGAAGCTACGACCACTGGCTCTGTGCTTATATGGACAGACCTCAACAGGAGGCTGGGCCAACCGATTTGAAAGGGCAGCAGGCGAGTGAGCGGCAGCACTTGACTGACAATGCACCTCACGGGGGCCGCCCACAGCTGATGAGCACATGAAAATGTGACTGTTCAGACCTGCCGGGGGCCAGGGCTCCTACTGAGTCGTGCCTGGACAGGTGAGTTGCTCATGTGACAAACTCCATCTGGGGTTGACTTTCACACAAGGAGAACAATGGCGTAACAATGGGCGAAACCCAGGGCCAGACAGGCCCCCCCGCTCCCAGCCGTGCCGTTCATTACCGATGCATTCGGTGCCTGAGGTGCTGGCTTGGAAGCCTTCGTTGCAGTCACACCGGCCGTTGGGGCAGATGCCCGGCTTGGTGCGGCACTCGTTCTCGTCTAAGAGGAAGGGAAGCGGAGACTCGCTGCCGACCGCCTAGAGACTTGGGGGCCCGAGAGCCGGCGGCCACTGCTGAGCAGGGTGGAGCTGCCACCACACCCGGCCAAAGCAGCAGACCCCTCCCAGCAGGCCCAGCAGGGCAGGGGCAAGGGGAGCAGTTGCCCTGGGGCCCGACGCGTCGAAAGGGCCGGGGCCCCCCAGCTGCCACTGCTGCAGAAGAGGCAGCAGCTGGAGCCTCAGGCCCTACAGTTGCCGCTGGAGCACCGTGCGGTGCACCCAGGAGGCTTTGAGGGCGGGGGGGCCCCAGCCTCGCCCCAACCTCTTTCTGCCAGGGCCAAGCCCCTTCCCACCTTGCGCAGGGGCCCAACAAGTCCGCTGCCCCCAAAGCTCAGGAGGGCGCTAGGGTGCCCAGCATCTTCACACTGGGGATCCCCAAATGCCGTGCTCCCAGCTCTATCGCCCACCTCCTGCTCTGGGCCCAGGGGCTGGGCAGCCAACTGGCCCCCTGGCTGTTCCGCCGCACCCCGGAGGGCAGCGACAAGCTCCCTCTGTCGGCACGAGGCGCACGGCGCTGGCCAGTGGGCTTCAGCATAACTCAGAGCGGCCCCGTCAGCCTGCTCAGTGCGGGGCGACCAGAGAGCCTGGAGAAAGGCCACGACGGGACGCGGCCGGGGCTGCCCCCGGGCTGGTGCCATGCGCAGCCCAGCCCCCGAGCGTGCCTTTGGGCATGGCTGCAATAGGAAGAGCCAGGCCCGGAGCACGGGGCCAGGGCTGGCAGGCGGGGGGAGCAGGGACGGAGCTGGCCCTGTGGCTAATGCCCCTCTCTCCCTGCAGCGCCGTGTACCTGTACAGCCCTCTCCATCCGGCCGGCGCTGCATCCCCGGGGGGCAGATGCACATGAAGGTACCAATGAGGTTCTTGCACATCATCCCTCGAGACTCGCAGTCATGGAGGCCTTCAGTGCACTCATCCAGATCTGCAAGCAACCCGCAGAGAATGAGCCCGGGGGAGTGAGCCCCGCGGCCAACGAGCTCCTCAGAAAACGAGCCCCTCAGGGAACGAGCTCTGTAGGGAACAAGCCCCTCGGCCAATGAGCCCCTCAGCAAACGAGCCCCTCAGCGAACGAGCCCCTTGGCCAACGAGCCCCTCGGCCAATGAGCCCCTCAGCAAACGAGCCCCTCAGCGAACGAGCCCCTTGGCCAACGAGCCCCTCGGCCAATGAGCCCCTCAGCAAACGAGCCCCTCAGCGAACGAGCCCCTTGGCCAACGAGCCCCTCGGCCAATGAGCCCCTCAGCAAACGAGCCCCTCAGCGAACGAGCCCCTTGGCCAACGAGCCCCTCGGCCAATGAGCCCCTCAGCAAACGAGCCCCTCAGCGAACGAGCCCCTTGGCCAACGAGCCCCTCGGCCAATGAGCCCCTCAGCAAACGAGCCCCTCAGCGAACGAGCCCCTTGGCCAACGAGCCCCTCGGCCAATGAGCCCCTCAGCAAACGAGCCCCTCAGCGAACGAGCCCCTTGGCCAACGAGCCCCTCGGCCAATGAGCCCCTCAGCAAACGAGCCCCTCAGCGAACGAGCCCCTTGGCCAACGAGCCCCTCGGCCAATGAGCCCCTCAGCAAACGAGCCCCTCAGCGAACGAGCCCCTTGGCCAACGAGCCCCTCGGCCAATGAGCCCCTCAGCAAACGAGCCCCTCAGCGAACGAGCCCCTTGGCCAACGAGCCCCTCGGCCAATGAGCCCCTCAGCAAACGAGCCCCTCAGCGAACGAGCCCCCCAGCGAATGAGCCCCGCGGCCAACGAGCCCCTCAGGGAACGAGCTCCTTAGGGAACGAGCCCCTCAGGGAATGAGCACCGTGGCCAACGAGCCCCGCGGCGAATGAGCCCCTCAGTGAACAAGCCCCTCGGCCAACGAGCCCCTCAACGAACGAGCCCCTTGGCC